ATTGTGTTTAGCAAGCTAATCAACGTCCAACTCGAATTCCGTACTTACTTATGAAACAACAACTTGTGTGATAGTAAAAAAAAAAAAAAAAAAAAATTCTATATACAAGTTTTATAATTAGCAGTATATAAGCCTCTAGTATAAAATGCAAATCACTAAAATGATTTTCCTGCTAAATTAAAAACTATAAATTATACATTTTACCATATTTCATGATTCACAGTAAAGTGTCTAGCTACAAAAATTAAGCATAACATAAGTAAGCACGTAAATCTAACAAAATGACTATTGCGATGATCGGTTTATACTTATTGGTAATAAAAAATCTAATACAATCATATCCATATAGTAGTAAAAGTAGTCTTCACTCTCGACTATGTTCGATTTTTATAAAAATCAATGCAACATCGAGTACAAAGTGCGAATCATATAAGATTTATATCTTCCTTACGTTAAAAAAACTAACAATTATAAAAAAATCAAATCTTTCGTATTAAAAAAAACATCCAATCACTTTTCCAGATAATCACGCAACTGGGAGCGCACACGTGCAGCACATTGCCAGCGAGTGTCGGAAATAGTGAGAGAAAGAGGCCCGTCGTCCAATCGTATATCGTTTAGCGCTATAATACACATGATCGATGAGTTTTAAGAGACGTTCATCGTCTGTAAACTCATTCTCGACTCGCGTGTTTTTCTAGACGTTGTACGGAGAAAAAAAAAAAAGAAAAAAAAAAGGAAAAACCAAGGAGTCGCATCCATCGTCATGTCCATCATTGTGTTATGTCCTGCAACTTTTCATTGCTTTTTGCGCTTGGGGTCGTACGAGGAGAGCAAGGAATCGGTTAATCGCCGGGCTCACTTGATTATACCGATTATCGCAGCTATCTGGTCGACGGTGAAGTTCTCGTCGACTGTTGACTTTTTGCCGCTGCCCGTGACACGTTTCCGGCGCTTCCTGAGTTTGGCGCTCGTGGACGCGTCGACTTTGCCACCGTCATTGGTTGATCCCTCGCTACTGGCCTGCTGCTCATTATCATCGTCTTCGCTGCTTGGTTGGATCTGCCAATAAAAGACGAAGACACTTATAGTCTTCTCCTTTATTTCGTTTTTTTTTTTTCTTTCTTTTATTATTAACTCATTTTGTTTGTTTGTTTGTTTTCTTTTCTATGTAAATATGCTCAGTCTTGTTTGGTTTTTTTATTTTTTTTTATTTGTATTATAGTGGAAAGAAAGTGTTGCGAGCGGTATGCCAAAAAGAGCATATTTCTACAGAATGTCAATGTTTTTTTTTTTTTTTAATTTCACGCAATAGCCGATCCATAAACAAGACTGAATAATTTGAGCTTCTGTGATGTAAGCTAAACCAACAAAGCTGTACTGTGTCCGTCTGAGCATTAAAATTATTTTAATACTATTCTTTGATTCAAGTATATTTTCGCGTGATTACTTTATTTTACCCCCACACCGTGTGTTTCATTTGTGGCGTTATTATTGAAAAACGATCATTGAAATAAATACCAATTACATTTTTTTTTGTTTATTAAGTAATTGATTTATTCATTTGTGAATATAAGATAAAACCATTAAAAATAATGGATGTGAGAATCTCAACATAAATATAATAGTATACTTACACGTTTGTATAAATTAAGAAAGTTTGATGACTTAAATATCTTACGCCATAACATGTTAAAAATAATGTTTCGTTATAAATGTGAGAAAATGACAAAATACATTTGATTTTTTTCAGATTTATCCATAAGACGCACATCGAGAATAGTGAATCGAGAACTGCATGTGTATGAAATAATTGATGCATGATTCGAAAATGGCACAAAATATATTTGGAATATTATTTAATCCGTTTGAAAAATTTAAAGAATTTATCTTATAATAAGACATTTTATACGTATTAATTTAAAGTCAGTATATTGATGGAATTGTTAAAATATGTACATAATGTATTTACATTTACATAACACAAACCAATGTATTTTTATTCTTTTGAAATACAAATGTTTTTAAATATTCTAAATTTTTTTTTTCCCTAATAGTTATAATCGGTCCTTAAACAGCTACTTATGAATAACTTTGTGGCAGTCATAAGTTGCATATGCTATGTAATTGGTAATTTACTGAACTATTTTATGACAACTATTTTTAATGTGAATGATAAAAACGTTATTTTACTGTGTGCTTCTTTAACATTTTAACGTGCATTAACTGTAATGTATGAAAGTGTTGCAAAATGAAAAAGATAGGAGAGATGATTCATTGGAAAAAGAATACCAAAGCTTTCAAATTGTTGTTTAAAGAAACGAAAGTAAAAAAATTTATCAATCTATCCATAATACTGTTTTCCTTACATTGTCCATTAAATAAAATATGAAAAAACGCAAAGTTGCCCTTGTACATATATTTTTTTTCTTGCGCCCTATAATCAGCTATAGATAGTATCGCATTTTTTTTACAGCATTTATTAGAAAATCAAATTTTTGAACTTTTCGCAAGTGTATTTTACAATAATGATCTTTTTTCGAACAGTTAATTTTTTTTTACTCGCTTACTTACACAATACACTACAGTAGTAACAACTCACGCTGTTCATTGTCATTTTATAGACTGACATAAAATATAAGTTTGCAAAAATTTGTCTATGGATTTATTATTCTCCCTAAAATTTATACACTTATATAAATATGTTTATATTTTGAAATTTCAAACAGTGTCACGGAATACGAGTTTGCNATGTATATATATTAGTTATCATAGGCAAATAATTAAACATGTAACAACATGAATAACTACATGACTTGTATATGAACACAGTTTTTTTTTTACAATGTATACAAAAAAGTTAGTAAATACGCGATCTAACTAAAATGACTGATGCTGAATCTGGAAGGAAAAAAATCAAGCTTGATAGAATCTAAAAAATTTACAATGTCTCTGTTGTCAATAACAGAATTAAAAAAGAAAGAGTTGATACATTTACAAAAATCTTAGTTGTTAACTAATACACATAATTGATTATAATAATGACAGTAAAAAAGAATTGGAGATACGCGTGGATCCCTAATTTTAGGTTGCATTAAAACACAGCGATACGCTACTTTATTTATATAAATTTCATTGCACAAATAACGTTTATATTTTGCTATTTCCTACATGGCATAACAGGACTTTTTTTGGGAAAGCAACTTTACAAAAAAAAACCAATACAAAAGAAAATAGTAAAATTAAACTATGATCTTATTTTCACCATCCCTGCGAATGTCTCATGCTTTGCCACCACTGCCAATGATTTTCGATGGCTTTTATTAGGAAAATAGACTGATTTTTTTATACATAAAGTACATTTTTGTCATATCTTTATTACAACTTGTTAAAGTACATTGATGAAATACTCACGCCGACAATGAAAAATATGATTAAATTTAACACGAACTTGACATTTATTTTTCACTTTTTTACATTTGTATTAAATAATACATTTCCTCTGATCTACTTAAATTCATGTACAGTAGTTTATAAATAGTTCTCTTCATAAGCTAAAATTAAAAATTAGCTAGTTATTTACTTGGCAATGATCATAATCATACATTGCATTTTTTTCGGGAAATCAAATAAATTTTAACATATTGTTACAAACCACTATATGTTTAAAGTAAATTCGCTTTAATGCCATTTATCTTTTCTAAAAAAGAAGAAATTCATTTGTACAGTCGATTTTGTACTAAAAGCCATTGAAATATTATACATTATGAAGGGGTTGAAATAACGCATACACCCATTCCGCACTGCTACTTGGATTCGAAACCAAAATCTCGTTTCGATCGTATGGGAGATTAAAATGATTGGGAAATGGTTTACGTTAGCTATAATTTTTCGATGTAAACGTCCGTCATCGATTTAAAGCACGTCATCCGTTGTCTTACCTCGACGATGGCGCCTCTCGGCGATCTCTCGTCGACGGAAACAGGTGTTGTAGCCGTAACTGGAATATCCAGTGCCGGTATTGATAAAGAAGAAACTTTGGATGATGTGCTCAAGAGTTCAGACACCTGGCCACTCTCGAAGCCGCAATTAACCATGTAATTTTCGTACGTAATTACAACGTCATCATCAGTCTCGCCATCGTCGTCCATGAGTGCCTCGCCTACATCCATGTCATAGCATTCCGTTAGTTCAGCTGGATGATTATAGCAGACCAATGTTCCGTTTTCAGGATGCTCTCGTAGATTACCATACGTGTGAGCTGAAAAGTATTGTTTATTAATTTTATGTTCAAAAGATAAACGCGACATGATAATAGCTTACGTTGGCAAAAAGCGTTGCAACAGTAACTGCAGCGTATCGAAGTTCGCTTGTAACATTCTGCACAAAAATGCCATGGACAGTGAAAAGTTTGATCAGGACCATCTTCAATTGCTATGCAATGTGGGTGGTAATATTTTCCGCAAGTTTTCTGATCACATTTAAATGCCTCGTTGGCATTGTCAATTTTTAAATTACAATTCCAACACATCAAGACTCTTTTGTACCTGTAGTTAAAACAACGTGTAAACAAAAAGGCCCTTTTCAATTAACAACTAAATAATTATCAATTCTAAATGTACGTACTTTCTTTGCTTTTTCACTTTTTCAGCCTTCTCAATGTTCTTCTGCTGCGCTATGCTTATCGTTTGCTTAGGAACTTTTAAACCTATGAAGCCACTGCAATTCGGAGCCTTGCAAAGACATGGCTTTTTCGTCTCTCCATCACAGGCTAAGTTATAATTAAACGTTAATTCATCACCGGGCTCTATGTCGCGTAAGGCAAACAATCCAATTCGTGTATCACCATTTACAGTCCATTTTTGAGTCTCACAATTTGGCATACAGGAATGATCTAAAACATTCATCAAACGAATTCAGTTAATTACGTTTTTATTACAAATGTTGATCGTTTTGTGCAAAATACTCACTCATAAATCGACTCAAATTTCCCTTTGGCTCTGCATCAATCATTCTAGAGTTATCGATGGTTAGGAAATAGTAGTTTTCGTTCTTCCGTTCCTTTTTCTGCTCTAATCTTAGCCTATATTCAGCCTCATCGATAACTTCACCCACGTACTCGATCACAAACTGACCTTCCTTAACGGACTCAAGCACTTTTAAACCCCAGCCACGCTCGTCTGTGTGGAATGGTTTCATATTTGGATATTTACGCTGTACAAACATTTGATTTTGACAAGCCGTGCCAGCAGGACAAGCATCTGGACTGCACTCGATCATCAATATTCGATTCAAGCAGTCTGACTCAAGAGAGCATGGATTTGGTTTATTTGGATCGCAGTTACAAGCGACAATACTATCAGGCTGTAGAATTTTTACGTTACCAACTGGCTTGTTCACCTGTTAATGTGTGAGATGGTTGATTAAACGATATTTACCAAGCTAATACATAAACGTTACGTTGTCTATATAGCCAAGTGATCTTACTCGAAGTTTAACGTAATGAGGAGGTTTGAGGTGTCTGTGAGAACCACTATTTCTTTTTTCAGCTGCAGCTTTTGCCATAGCTTTCTCGCACATGAGATACTTATGAAACACTTTGGCTTCTTCCATAGCTCTTCTGTAAGAGTCTTCCACTTTCTTGTTACCTATCACTTTTGCATTTGCATCTCCTTCTTGGAATAAGAAAACTTTTCCTCTATAATAGAAAAAAATGTTAGTAATAACGATGTTGACTATGACTATAAAAAATGACGAAAATTGCAAAATTATTTACCTATGAACCCAATTGTAATCTCTTGTTCCCAAAAACATTACGCAAAATTCACCTGTTTTATGAGATTTTTGAGCAACGATTGGAGGTATTTCTCCGGGATAACATATAATGGATGGCCACCACCTGTAATTGCCATGTTTTACCCATACAACTTCTCCATAGAGTGGTAATCTTCCAGTTTCACAATCTTCGCAAATAAAACCGCCTTCGGGAGTGTCGATACCTAAACAATTGAGATAACAAAGTACGTTATTCACATAAATCTGATAATGAAGGAAATCATACGATCCAAATTATAAAGTTATTAATTGTCTACCTAAGCACTCCACATGAAACGACATAGGACATGTGTCACAGCAGATCAAGCTTCCACCTTTGGTACATAAGAAGCACCAAGTAGCATTGACCGGTGGTTGAGCAGATTCGTAATGTTTTGGACAAATTATTTGACTTCCAGTGAGTATACAGGAACCTGCTGGTAGGCAAGAAATGGAGGCATGATAAGTTGAGGGACACCTGACGCAACGAGCGAATCTTTCGTAGTTGGATCTGGGGTGTCCGTTTTGCGGGTTGTCCGAGATACAAATGTGACACATGTGATACGGACAGGTAAGCCTTCCCCCTTGCCAGTGACTTTGAGGCCAGGCTTTGAGGCATTGCATGTGATAGTGCTTGCCACAAGCGTGTACCGAGCATTTGATGCGCTCACCATCGCGTTCGTGGCAAACGAAGCAGGCCGGGGCTATGGCCGACAGACAATCTATGCACTTAAAATTCTCGTCTTCGGTCTTTTCTCCCTCTTCGGTTTCACGCTGCTGCTGTTTGTTCTCTCGTAATTTCTCTTTGATTTCACGTAAGTCTTCGTTGTAGGCATCGTTGCCACAGATGGCTTTTAAATTTTCAAGGTCACCAGCTTCACTTGGTTCAGGACTCGACTCACCTGGCTTGACGCACGCCGGATGAAAGTATGAAAAGCAGGGTCCACGGCAACGTATAAGTTTTCCCGGCTTTTCACATATTTGACAGACACGCTCGTTTTTAAAGCCCTTGAAGAGTAGCTTGTATGGCCGTACTCGCTTGGCTGCTTCTTGCAACAGAGATGACGAATCTTGATCGTCGTGCTTGTATTTGCGTTTTTTCACTGGCTTTTCTCCCGACTCAACCGAAACTGCATCGTCTCGGTCTGAGGAATTTCGTCGCTTCGGTTTCCGTTTCCGTACCAATTTTTCGAGGCTTTCTGACTCAATTGAGGTGGTTTCTTCAACGTCGTTTTTCGTACGAGACCTGCCAACGGACTTATCAGCCTCAGAATACACCTCGTCATCTTCTTCCTCATCTTCTTCTCTTTCTATTCCATAAAACTTTACTTCCTCATCTTCGAGATAGTCGGCACGGTATTTGTTTCGGTCTTGAAGAGACATGAGATCCCACATTTTTTTCAGATATTCTCTGATGTTATTTTCGTTTGCATTAGGATCAAGCTTTTCTGCACTTTCTCGTTCACGCTCGCAAAATATTTCGAATATTCCCTCGACAGCTAACTGTCGATCTTTGCCTGTTTTAACTGTTGAACCTTCGTCACTCGAGTCTTTGTGACTGGATGGAGGGGTCGGTGGTGTCTCTAAATTTATATTGCCATTCGTTTCTTGAGACTCACCCTAAGAAATAAATATAAAATTTATAAGAACCATAAACTTACAAAATAAATTTTTTTTAATCTTATACACTCAAGTTCTGGTTACTAACATTAGCTTTGAATTTTTTGGGCACGATGTCATTGATCGAAATCTTTCTCTTTTTTTTAACATTATCATCATCAGTGAAACTTCCATTTAGCAAACTTTTTCTTGTCTTATCATCTTCTAATAATAGGCTTAAAGATTTGTTCAAAAGTTTTTTTCTTTTATAATCAGGATGGAAAATCTCGTTTATTTCTTCAACACTTAAGGACTTTAACCTAATAGCTTCATTTACAGCATCATCCCACTGTAATTTTATTGATGGTTTTATAACAAAAGCAGCTGCATACTTAGGTTCTTTTTTCTTTGTTTCCGAAGTTATTTCTTTGCCAATTTTTTCAAACTCGGCGAGTCCCTCAAATGTAATTAAGTTTGCTGAAGATACCCAATTGTGTCGTCCCTTGTCCGCACAAAACCGGACATGTACTTGACAATATTTGTATTTAGATTTACTACCTGGAAAGATGACGTAATCTTTAAATGTAGACTATCAGTGTGAATCTAACAATAATAAAAAATATCACAACGTTTATAATTCAATAAATTTTTTTCTTCACTTATTAAAAAATTAGAATTCACTTAAATATTCGAATAGTAATCATGATAAATATATTTATTAAGAAATCATACATTTAAAGTAATGTTTTATTTAAAATGTATTCAATATTTTCAAGTGTAATTAAAGTGTGAATAAACATAATCAATACAATAAATCTTCTTAACATTATTAGAGAACCACTTATGAAGAGTTCATAAATATTGGAGCACATTTTTCTGACGTTAAAATCGATAGCTGTTACTCAGTAGGTAACATTTATTTTTAAACTCTGTACTCTGTCGTCAACAACTCTAGATGAACTTCTTAGTAGTGATTATTTCTCTTTAAGTATTCAACTTATTTCTTCAAAACCATTAAGAAAAAGTTCTCGTTAAATTTTGAAAGTAAAGACTTGGCTAATTATTGTATGTAATTTTAAAACAACATTTCACTGTTGGGATGCCGAAAGTTTATAGAGATACATACAAATAATTTTAATGTGAAAAATTAATGAATTGATTAAAAATTCAAGAATTACAACAATAATAAAAGAGAAGTGGATTAATATTATTTTTTTCAATTGATTTCCATAAGCAATCATTGTACGTACGAAAATAATTATAAAAAATAACAAGTGCCAGAAATTAATAAAAATTATTTATATTGTTACTAAATAGCAATTAACAAATGTTCATGTCTCAATACTAACCTTTTTGTGCCACATATGTTCTAGTTTCTGGTTCAAGAGTAACGACACTGGGCCAAAATGGATACTGTCCAAATCTAGCCCAGACGATGCTTCCTAAAGACCATGAACACCTTCTTTTGAGTTCTTCATAGTCAAGTATTTCAACTTCGGTTTTGATTGTACTATCAAGACTACAGCTGTCTGTACAGCTTGTATCTTCCATTTTGACGTTCTCTTCTCTGACGACGGCAATTTCTTGCTTCACAACTTCTTGTTTGATCTTTGGCATTTTAATGTTCTGCAAAATTATACACTTTCAAGTTATATAACCTCTAAATGAAAAATTTCAATACAAACGTATAAAAATGAACACTGCAAGATTTTGGAAATGATATATTAATTAGATATAGAAAGCTGAATCAAGATGTACATGAAAGTCTACATATGATAAATAAAAATAAAAAAATCACAATAATAGTCAACGAAATGCATTAATTTATACATGTAAAGGTAATTGCGGCATGAGGCAGCGTTGTAAAATTGCTCTGAGATGTTCACAATAATAATTTTACAACGCTTTCGACCTTTAGAGTGCTTTGCAAGTAATGTCTCTTCTTTAACTCAATAAGGTATTTTACAGAGAACAACACTTAAAACGGGAACAATCAACAGTAGTTTATATAAAGAGCAGAGAAATACGATGCACTGTTCCAAACAAATGGGGAAATTATCACGTGCAATACAACTGTATACTTTTGAGTCTCTTGTTTAATTTAAGAGCTTATAATCAATATACGTGCCTTTGGAGAAGAAGACGAAGAATAAGAACTGGAAGAAGCAGCAGAGTCTTGAAAGTGTGCGAGAGTATTCGGGGATTTAGGCTTGATGGTACGCCCATAGCGACTGATCACACTCGAGATCTGTGGCGAAAGAGCCACTTTGTCCTCAATCTTTGCACTTTTTGACTTAACATTATCTTCGATTGCTGTTGTTGGTGTACCAACTGCTGTGGCGATCTGAAGCGACTCATCATTCTTCGTGACGATGACGGCGTGGGTAGCTGAAGTTGACTCTTCCTCTTCACAAGACTTCATTGTCTGTACCATGATGCTTGGCCAGTGAAATAACAGCAGGTCTGATCATGCCCTCCTAGAGAGCTATTTATGAGTACCTACAGTAAAGGCAGCAGGCAGCACTGCATCAAACACCCAGAAGGCTAGCCTCCTTTTCCTCGTTGATGAGGCAACAAGTCCAAAAAAATTGCACTATTCTACTACACTGACATAAAAATAAAACACTGGTACTGATTGTTTATATTAAATTTGGAATCAACACACACTTTAATACATATAGTATGCAGGTATGTCGAGCTGTATAAGTATAGCATTTGCTATGATGAGAGAGGTAACCTCGACGTTTTTCGATGAGTGACTAGCTTAGTGGCGAGAGAGCGCGCGCTGGTGTCGTGCGGTAATTGTGTCGACGTCCACGTTGTCTATTGGCCATTACGGATACTTGATCATCCTCTAGAATTAACGATGAAAAGGCAAAGACCCTTCTTTTCTCCGTCAACAATTAAGCACATTTCCCGCGGTTTCTTTCTCCTCACCCCCCGCACCACGCACCATATATAGCTATATAATATGTATACAGCTCTGTTCGATCTTCAATTCACCTGTACTTATTCCACACTGTGCTCTCTGCTGTACTCTGCTGCATGCTGCAATCTGCAATGGTGTCTCCGTTGTCGGTGTCGGCTGGTCTGGTCAGTGTTGGCGGCGCTCTCTCTCCACACACATTTATGATGTTTTGTATACACCTAGGCTTTCTGCTTTCTCGTACTGACACCCATGCATGATGATGTCTTTTCTCTTTCTCTCGTGGTCCCCCCGCCGTCAAACATGTTTCCCCCAAAATAAGTAGGAAAAATGGAAAATTTTTTAAAAATTGAACTAAAATCTTCTTGATTTGTCACTCAAAAATGAATACGTAATCACCCTAAACAAATATTATTACATCATTACATCGCATTCTGGTTTTTGAAAGACCAAAGAAATTGTTACTTTAAGTGTTGGTAAATTGTGTATTTTTTTTGGAAAATTTTACATCATTAATAAATCATTTGCTCAAATTTTCATGAAAATTGGCAATCATACTCATGCATTATTATTATTATAGTTNATGCTCATCTCCATTATGACCATTATTCTTATTGCGTTAATTATTATTATTATTATTATTATAAGATTTGTGTGTGTAGGTGTACTTGCATATGAATGACCATAAACTAATGTTTCATTGCGTCATCGAAACCCCCACAACCCCAGTAACGATAGAACAGAAAAAAAATCTTTTATGGAACAAATAATAGAGAAATCTGTTTTAGAAATTAAAGTATCATCAATAAAACATTCGGATGTCAAAAGAGTTTTTTGTGTTAATAAGATTGAATCTCCTTTTTCGTAAAATAGTTTTAAATTTTATTGAATATTTCTTGTGTACTACAAAGAGAACATTGTATGTTAAAAAAAATGAAACAACATTAAATTGTCTATTCCACCCTATTAATACATGCAAAATTCATTCAGAAATATACAAATCTACAGAATTGAAAGAATTTGTAATCCTTTGAATTCTGTAAAATCAATTCATAAAAATTGTCGGTAACTTAGATTTCGTTTTTATTTGATAATGATTAACATTTTGCGGGCAGTGCAAGGCGATAATGGGGGGGGGGAGGGACAAGACTCCGAACTCCGACTGCTCCGATAGTGTAAAAGTACAATGCCCAGTACCTATTTTATTATATTTTGCGTGCAGTGCAATAATATAGGTACAATCACTATTGTGGTTTAAAAAAAAGGAGCGCTAGGCAGCTGAGGCAGCTCTAGGAGTCAGAGGGAGAGCTGTGAAGAAAAGGAATATTATATACATATATAAGTGTAGGATCGAGAGTCGGCATCGCCAAGGTGAGGTTGAAGAGAAAAAAAAGGAGCAGTTGTTGAAGAGCCAACAACAAGGAACGGTCCGCTGCTATAATTTTCTGTCTGCCATATGCACCCGCGTTGGCTGCTGCGGTTGCTGTTGCACCTGCCCGATTATAGAAGATCAAGTGTGTTGTGCCTATAATATGTGGGTGAAGCCAGAGGAGGTTCTCCTGGCCAATGCTCTCTGGTAATTTATCATTTGAAAAAAAGCTCATTACCTCTCTTCCTCGCTCTCTTTTTTCATTTGTGCAGTGCAAAATAAACATGATGTGTCGTTTTTCCGAATGAGTGCAGCAAATGACATGGTAATGTATAAGTGGTTGTTTGTTTACAATGGCTCTTGATGTGTTTTGGAGCACAGCACCGCCAAAAGCTGTATACCCCCCCCCCCTCCTTCTCCCATCAGTCAGCTGTTTTTTTTTGGTATTTAATTTTGTTTATGATTCGTCAGTGCATTCTTTTTTTTTCCTCGGTAAAGTGTATAGGTACATGGATATATATCGCAAGCGAGTTATTGAGAGGCGTTTTAAATCAGGTTTATGTTACGCTTAAGTACTCTTTTTTCTATTTTTTCACCGAGCGGTAAGGCAAAATAATAGAAAAAAAAAGTTCATAAACAAAATAATTAAGTGGCCGGCTAGACAGATCAGTAAATGGTAATTTTTCATCAATGTTGTATAATCGTCCCATGGCAGATTACTTAGCGAGCTGCCTTGAATATTTATATAACAGCCTAGCGTTGCTTACTCTATTATTATTTTTATTAACTTTAATCAAACATCATTTACGAATGCGTTTCACTTTGTTAAGTACTGTTTTTATTTTATTTTACTTTTTTTTTATCAACACTAACATGATAAGTGTTGTACAATGTTACTAAGTGTTTACTATAGTTTTTTTTTGCGATGATAACAAGTAATAACATTGATGATAACATATAAGCAAGAAGGAATTAAACTTCATTGTTTTTGGTCAAACGAGTGGATAATTTTGTTGTTTAGGATAACCGAGGATGCCAGTATTTATTTTGTTAGGCAGCGGAGAAAAGGTCATGGCAAAAGCAAAGGATTCACGTCCATTATTGTTGGGACGTTGGACAGTGTTTTCGACACAAAACCCCCGCCATTTAGAATTTTACATCAAACACCTTCATCCGAAGTTTATTGGGGTAAGTTTTTGGTAGAAACTTGTGGAGGAATTTTTTTTTCTGCAATTATTCATTACCGTGTTTACTTATGGTCAGTCAAATCACAACAGCATGATCATATAGTATAGGTCGTACAGATTGGAAAAAGAATAACTAATGACTATAAGTATAAATTTCTTCTGGAAGCAACGTGTAGAGGCACGGAGTAAACTTTTGATAATGGAGTACAATTATAACTTTTTTGTTTCCCTCCATTTATCGATTATTCATGATTATCGTTTCAGTGAGCAACGTTTTGAATCTATGGTGTTTTGTAGAAAAAAAAAAAAAATTATTTTCAAATTATAGTGGTGGCTTGTTCTTTGACCCATTCGGAAATAGTAAAGGACTGGGAATGGCTGCACACAAATTTAACAAGCACTTTGCAATCCTTTGACACAGAGGATGAAATCACCGATTTCGTGTGTTGCAAAATAAATTCCATTATCGCGAACAGCGCATCAGACTCGTTAGTCGATGGTAATTTATTTTTACTATGCAAGATAAATCACGTTTTGTCGAGACAAAGGAACACGATAACTTTTTTTTTCTTTCTTTCAGATGAAGATTCTCGGTCATTTAAAAGAGTTTCGTTAAAATTTTACCAGCTTTTCAATCTATCCAAGGATGAAAAACTTGTAAATTATTATTCTTGCAGGTATATGATTGATTTTAATTTTATGCGCTATTTTATACATTGCTGATGAATGGATGCATCAATATAGTTTAATTGTTTCGATTGATTTTTGTAGTTATTGGAAATCTAGACTACCTCGGCAAGGGTGGCTGTATTTATCTGTAAATCAGATGTGTTTCTATGCTTACATATTATCGAAAGAAACAAAATTAGCTATAAGGTGGGCAGACATTGTGGAATTGGATAAAACAAATTCCATTTTATTTCCCGACAGTATTCGTATCGTAACGCGCGACGGTAAAGAGGTTCGTAAGCCTTTTAAAATGTTTTTGAATTTCAAGTTGAATATTTAATTGACTTTCAACTTGCAGCATTATTTTTCAATGTTCCTTCACAAATCTGAAACGTACTCACTGATGGAGCAGTTGACAAATCTCGCCATGAAACGGTAAATTTTTAATTTCATCTTTGATTTACGATCCTACGAATTTAAATTGCGTAATTTTAGACTCATTGACGAAAAAAGTGGTTTCAACGAAGATAGAGATCTTTTAAATAAATTAAGGTATAAAATGTTCAAGTACACCCTACATTAGAATTAAAAAATGAAAAATAAGTAAAGATTCCTAATTTCAGCAAAAATGTACCTAAAAAGCCATCGTTTCTAAAAAGAGATCTCGATGCTCGTGCACATTCGGAGGTTTACCGGCTCCAATTCAGGTTGCCGGTAAACGAAAAATTAGACGGTTCTATTGACGCAACTTTGTGGACACCGTACAACAAGAGACAAAACTGGGGAAAAATTTATCTGTCTCAAAATTACATGTGCTTCGAAAGCAGGGTGAGTGTTTCACGGCAATCCAATGAAATCATATTTAGAATAGCAGCTTTACGGAATTTTCAATGTCCACCAGGTAAAAAATTTAGTCAGTCTCGTTATACCGCTACGCGAAGTAAAACTTATCGAACAAGCCGAAAGTAAAGCATCACATACTCTGGACAAGTCGATATTGGTGACAACGGCGCGAGCTACGTTTTTGTTTGCTCAAATACACGACAGACATTTCGTGGTGCAAAAAATATCCGAACTACTATCCAAAACGAGAATCGCTTACGTGTAAGAAATTTTCCATCATTCGACACCTTAAACTATCTTAATTTAATCAAATGAAATTTCAAAGGGCTCCTGTAAACAGCGAAGGAAAGGAAGCTAAAGGATCCGATTCTTGGTCGCCTCAGCCTCCGCTCATGAAATTGTTCAAGGCGCCGCTTAGTTCCGAAGCAGCATTAAAACAAGAAGCAAAAGAAAAACAGTGGGAGCTGCATTTTTCTGAGTACGGTCGAGGAATGACGATATACAGAACCATAGAAACTGCCAAGCTCGTTATTGCCGGCATCCCTCAGTCGCTAAGGGGTGAAGTATGGCTCACATTTTCTGGTAATTATTTAAGAAAAAAAAAAAAACTTTTTATTTCACTGAAAATCAATGGGTTAATCGCGTAAATTGTTACTAGGTGCATATAACGAAATGGCAATGAATCCAGGCTTGTATCAATCTTTGGTCAACCGATCTATTGGAAAGACGTGTCAGGCAAACGAGGAAATCGAACGAGACTTGCACAGATCTTTACCCGAGCATCCGGCGTTTCAGTCTGACACCGGTATAAGCGCTCTAAGACGCGTTCTCTCCGCGTACGCGTACAGAAATCCACAAATCGGTTACTGCCAAGCGATGAACATTGTCGCTTCGGTACTTTTGATCTACTGCTCGGAGGAAGCTGCCTTTTGGCAACTGTGTAACGTTTGTGAATCCCTGCTTCCGGATTATTACGATCGCCGAGTCGTCGGTGCGTTAGTGGACCAAGGGCTTTTAGAAGAACTGGCTGCAGAGCACTTGTCCGCACTGTACACAAGATTGAAGGAGCTCGGTCTCATCAGAGTTATTTCGCTATCGTGGTTCTTGACAATATTCTTGAGCGTCATGCCGACCGGCAGTGCTGTTAATATTATGGATTGCTTCTTCTACGATGGAGCTAAGATTATTTTTCAGGTTGGTGCTCGAACAACGTTAAATTTTTCATACTTGAAAAATCTTTTCAAGTACTACGAAAGACAATACTTTTTCAATTTAAGGTGGCTTTGACTGTGCTAGAAAATAACCAAGATAAACTACTGAAATGCCACGACGACGGTGAAGCTATGCAGCTCTTGACCGATTACTTGGGAGGAGTGTACAACAACGAGGGCCCGGTATTGCCGAGACCTGTTGACAGCGCGCCACCGAGCAAAGTGCGGTTCTCGACAGCTCTAAATAATATTGAATACTTTCATGTTGTTTATTGCTAAAAATGATTTTTTTTTTTTTTACAGAGCATATCCATTCAAGAGCTGATAGATGAATCGTACAGACGATACGGGAATTTGACGACAGGGGGAATCGAACGGTTACGACTGAAACATCGGCTTCGAGTGGTTCAGAGTTTAGAGGAGGGTATCGAGAAAAACGTCATCAGAAGCGTTATCAATGAAAAATTAATGACGGAAAAAGAACTGCAGGAACTGATAAACCTGATTCGAGAAGAATTAATGAGTCAGCGAAAATCTGACTCCGACAGATATGATCCGACCCAGCCTCCTTACGAAGTTTATAAAATAGATTACGATCTCTTTAGGATCTTATTCGGTGGACTGTCGCCGTGGGGCAAGTGCACCCAAGCTGAATCCTTAGCCGCAAGATTGTTCCGACTGATGGATCGAAATCACGACGGTCTTCTGGACTTCAGGGAAGTCGTGCGTGCGATCTCGATGACCGCGACCGTCGATTCGTCCCAAAGGTTGAAACTGCTGTACACCCTTCATCTTCCCCCTCTTTTGGTATCGGCGGATTTTGAGTCTCCCACGCAGTCAGGTAAAAAATTTTTTCCACGAGAAAAGAGTTTTTTTTTTTTGTTATTCTTTAAATTGAAAAAAATACATGTAATATTGTTAGATGGGACTGAGGTTGCAGCAGAGGCGACATACTTTTTTGACAGTATAGAACAGAGCATAGCATCCTTGGAGACGTCGGTTAGCTTTGCGGAAGAGCCTACCTACACATTGTCGCGATCGACGAGTTTGAATAGCCAGCAAGGCGATCAATCTTGGGAGGATCAGAGCATGGGTAGCTTACGATCTATGATAGTGTCTAGAGACAGTCCGTTAGATTTAAAAGTAGTGCCAAAAATGTCTCAGCAACACTTTATAGCTCTGTGGAAGACTCTTTACGACATGTTCCCCGCCCAACCAGAAGATCAAGAAACATATCATTGTATAGCCGAAATAGGTAACATATATGGTTGCCATCTAATTTTATTAAACAAAGATTTAAGCTAGTATAATTTTCAAATTTTTTTTTCTAGGGACCTTGTTACTTCAGCTGGGAGATGTAGGTAAGAAATTTTATGTTGAAAGAGAAGAATTTGAAGACGGCATGTCACCTGAAGTCAAGAAATCTGGACTAAAACAGCACACAGCTGTAACGGTGAGTATTTGATTTATGATTTCACGTAATTTCGAGCATTTAAAAAATTAATCTTGATTTTTTTTTCGTTAGACACCCGATCGCAACGGCAATCCAACAACTCCATCATCGACCGATCCTGAATGGTCCATCACGGTTGAACAATTTCTGGCGTCTGCTTTAAATGGTCAGCCTATCGTAGATTTCTTTAGCAAGAGAGCCGATCTTCTCCAGGCAATTACTTCGCTCAGAAATCGCAGGTTCAATCGCGCACATTCTCTTTCCGATACGCCTGTAATAAACGTGTGATACACAATAATAACATAATCATAATGAAAAGCATTAATTACGTGATGAAATTAATTAAATTTTTTCGTGAAATCCCACGTAAATCGTATGAAAATAGGCAGTCGCAAAATTTGAATTTTTGTTATAGATGTTTTTTTATGAGCGATGTCAATATTGCCAATAAAATCGAATAGAATAAAAAGATTTTGTTAATCCTGTTGAACAGTATACGTTTTTAAATTAAAAAAAAAAAAAAAAAATCCGAATGCATTGTAGAGATTGACCGAATAGTTTTCAATTTCATTGATAGCTTTTGATTAGCACCTACCTTCAGCCAAGAAGAAAGTGAGAAGAGATTGTATTTTTTTATCAATTGTTAGAAAATCTTCCCTTTTATCGTAGTCTAAGGCCTAGACTTTAATTTTGTTGTTAGTTATTTTTGCATTTTTTACATTCTGTGACCTGCTTCACGGAGAAACGTTTTTTCATATCATCGAAAGACCATTGAAACTGCTTCCATTATATAGCTCACTCGTTTAATTATATATAATAGTGATGTATAACGTTAAATAAGAGAAAGATACTAGAAATAAGAATTATAGTATGGACTACAAGCATTTGATGTGCTCTACTGACAGACCGAAAACAAAGTCACGAATATTCCTGTAGCTTTGAGTACTCTGTAAAAAATTAAATCCCTCTATTGTTAAAAGTAATATTTATACAATATTATCATATAAAAGCAAAAAAATCTCTCGAGTAACGATTTTTACCTACCCTTGAATTTCCATTTTTAAATCATTTTATAAAAAATTTATTGAAAAAAAAGACAGGAAAAAAAAAATTTCTCCAACCATTGCTTGTTTTACCTATGATAGTGTCTCT